TTTTTGTATGTCTCATAAAGAGGTAAAGTTAATTATAACAGAAAATTTAGAAAGTGTGGAGAAAAACTACCTTATCGAGACAATTGTATTCCTGTGGGATTAAACAATAGGTTATTCAAAGAGCGCAGATGACTCACGCTGATGCTCAGATATTCTGATGAAATCAACTAGACTTACTTTTTAAAAATAACTTTAACACCAGGAAACCATATAGTAACTGTCACTAATTTTTCTTAAATTTAGAAATTGCTAGTAGGAGCTGTGGAATACTTCTTAATATACATGGTATTTAAAACCATGTCAAAAATAATCAAAATGAGATTTTTTTACAGCCTTTTAGATATTTGCTCTGACAGATAGATGGAAAAGCACTTGTAATTAGCAAATGATTTATGAAATCATTTATATAGAAAGTAGCTTTTTAAAAATAATTTGAAGCTGGGTGTGGTGGTATAAAACTATAATTCCAGCATTCAGGAAGCTGAGGCAGGAGTTTGAGGTCAGCATGGCGTAGTGAGGTCAAGGCCAGCCTGAACTATGTAATGAGACCTTGTTTCATAAAACCAAAATAATAAAAATAATTTAAGAGTTGATACAATGGTGGCCATCTGTAATCCTACCTACTTGGGAAACTGAGGTAAGAAGGTCACCTGAGCCCAGGAGTTCAAGGCCTGCTGGGGCAATATAGTGAGGTCCTGGCTCAAAAAACAAATAAATGTTTTGAAATTCTTGCAAATAACTTACATATTTTCCTTAAATAAGGTTCCTGAACTCTTTACAATTTGGTTTAAAAGATTTTTAAAGAATTGTGCATAGATGTTAAAATTTAACCTAATCCAGATCCAAATCATCAAAGCTCCCAAACTTCTTAAGTATTTAATAATAAGTTATATTGTAGAGGAGAATGGTGTTACCCATGATACAACTTCAGGAATTCGTTTTCAGGGATTGACGCCCTGTTTCTCTGAAAGAAGACAACTATAGACTGGGTGTGGTGGTGCACACCTGTAATCTTAATACCGAGGGAGGCTGAGGCAGGAGGTCACAGGTTTGAGTTCTGTTTGAGCAATTTAGCAAGACCCTGTCTCAAAAAAAGGAAGAAAAAAAAATTAAAGGGTTGGGAATGTAGCTTAGTGATACAACAGCCCTGGGTTTGATCTCCAAGTACTGAAAATAAAAGAGAGAGAGACAAATATAAGAAATCTCTCAAAGGTATCATAAAACTCACCGTGTCTATATAAGCTACATTCAGACTTAAACGTTATGCTTAACACCTCTCTAGGCTAAAAGAGAGAAAGCTCCAGCACAAACAAAATGAAAAGACACACATGCATGCATGCACACATACACACACACACACACACACACAGTGTGATCAAAAACTACAATGAATTGCAAATTTTTTAAAAATTTTATCTCCAGTAGGACTGGGGATGTAGCTCAGTGGTGCTGTGCCTGCCTGGCAAGTGCAAAGTCCTGAGTTCAATCCCTGGTACCAAAAAAAAAAAAAAAAAATTATTACAGTAAAAGACACATTGCCATTAGTCTCTTTCAAACTTCTTTCCCTTACTTCAAACACATTATCCCACATGCTTACCACTTTCTGATGTAGTTCCCGGAGTCCTCTTTTGTGAGTATCTTTAGTTGTACTGATGTGGCTGCCTCGATATCATGAATCAATTTAAAATGTTTAATTTCAAAGAGCAAGAGCAGCAACCCACTTTCTGGACCCCTTTCTGTCTCTCTTAGATAGAAGCTTTCTTTTCCTCTATGAATTTTTCCTACTCTTAACTTCTGTTGTTCCTAGAATTCATTCCACTATTTTAGAGACCACGAACTCATGTTTCAGATACCTAGCAGGTTTGGGAGTTACATCTGTTCCCCCTATATCACTTTGGAGGTCTTCCACCGAGATTACTGGTCGGGGGTAAGAGTTTGCTTTCATAAGTTCTAACTGTGGTCTTTTTGCTTCATAGACTGTACCTTTCGTTTCATAGGCTCTGTACATTAGTTTCATAGATTCTGGTTTTCTTCTGCCTTTGTTTCAGCTTTTGTTTCAAGAGTATCTTAATTTAAAGTTGTATGCTTTAAATGTTTACAGATTTCTTGTTTCTCTTATGCATTGTAGTTTGTAAATATTACTTTTTATTCATTTTGTATATGTTGCATTTCGATTTAGCTGATTAAAAATGTTGTAAAATGGGTCTCTTAAAAAAATCAATCTCAGGCCAGGGATTTAGCTCAGTAGTGCAGCCGCCTGCTTCGAAAGGGCAAGGACCTGAGTTGGATCCTTGGTATAAAAATAAATAAATACAAATGATCTCAGATAAAGACAGTTCAGGCTTTTATCTGTCCCTTATAAAATCATAAACAAACAGTGGTTACCCTGCCAGTTAGTAATTGCCTTTAGGGCAGCTGCCACTCTCAAAGCAGAGGACAGGTTTCTCCAGTTGCCTTCTGGTGAATGCCTACTCCAATTGAAGCCAATGGTGGGTGGACCATTGACCAGATAGGCAACTGGATTCCTTTTGGAGACAGATCTCTGATTGTGTAAAATTAGTGGAAACTGAGGTGACCACTGAGGGGTCATGGCCAGGGCTACTCTCTGGCAGATACCCAAAGGTCCCTCCGAAGAAACTAGCTCCCGACAGCCTGACCAGGTAATTAGTACAAAATCTCCACATCTTGTCCTATCTGGACTCCTCTGTAAGGTGAAGGGGAACTCTGTCAGTGATCATCAGCTATCCTCTGCTTCAGAGTGACCTGAAAGGATGTCGTCAGAGCCCTTTCTTAAGCCTCCATTAAGAGTTGAGCCACAGGTTTGGACTGCTTCCTCTACTACTAGTGAGACAGAGCTCTAGACAAATGTAAAAACAAAAAACAAAACAAGACAAGGAGCCAGAATTCACACAGGGCCAGATCTGGTGAATACTAGAAGACACATGGTAATATTTTGTTTTGTTTTTTGGTACCAGGGATTGAACTTAGGACCTTGCACTTGCCAGGCAGGCACAGTGCCACTGGGTTATATCTTCCAATCCCTGTTTGTTTTTTGAGACAAGGTCTCACCATGTAATTCAGGCTGGCCTTGAACTTTAGGGATCCTCTGCCTCAGCCTCCTGAATGCCTGAATGACAGATATGCACCACTACACTCCGTGGCAATGTTCTTATGGGCCTGCCTTTCTGTTGGATGGCAGTCAGCAGCAGCACTCACCATATTTGTTATCACATCTCATAGTCACGAAAGAGGACTTCCAGAGCTGCTTCAGAAAGTGCAAGAATGAAGGCATAAATGTGTTCAAAGCAAGGGGTAGTACTTTGATGAGGATTAATAGCAATGCATCTCTTACTGTAATAAATTTTATAAAATTTAAGTATTCACCAGATATTTGTCTTTGTCTAGGTATCTTCTTAAATGAATATTTGTATCTACTTAAATGAAACTCGTAGCCAGGCTATTGACAGAAAAGAACTTTAATAAGGTCCTGGGCAGAAGAGAGGCCACTGCTATGGCTCGTTAACTACCACCTGCCCTTCACACGCACACACTGTTCCTCCCTTTCACAAGCCTTGTTCATCAGTGCCTTAGTCCCATCGTTCCTTACATTTGCCTTTATGCCTCCTGTTGTTATGTAACCAATAAATACTGACAAGTCCAGAGGTCCTGGTCTTAGCCAGGAAGAGCTAAGAGCAAATCCTGCCCCCCCATAAGACACAATCCTTTGTTCTTTATTCTTTATTATTCTTATTCTGTAACAGTTTTGGGTTTTTTTTGTTTTTTTTGTACCGGGGATCAAACTCGGGGCCTTGTGCTTGTGAGGCAGGCGGCAGAACCACTGAGCTAAATCTCCAGCCCAATTCTTTATCCTTTTTTCATCCACTGCCGAGCCCTCAGTCAGGTGGTCAGGCACCCCCGATACTCTGTCATAGCAACCCTAGAAAACAAATACAGCCTCCATATATAGCTACTTCTTCAAAGGGTTTACCACTCACCCCAAAATGCAAGCATTCTGTGCACTTTATTTAGTAAAGTAACCCTAAAATATATCCGTACACAACTACATCATAATGGCCTTAACAATAACACCGGCTATGGGCTTCCAACCATGGTTTCCTATAAGACTGATTCTGTTTTGTTTTTTTGTTTGTTTGTTCATTTGTTAGTAAATTTTATTTTATTTTATCCCATCCCCTGCTCAAGCCCACTGTATAATAATGATTCTTTCAACAAATCCTATTACTTAGGCTCAACTAAAGCATTGCTATAAGCATTTTTTAGTCTTTATCACAGGGAGTAAAAGTAAAGGTATTTCCTATAAAATGTACTGTCTTCTTTATGAATTGCTTCCACTCAGATGTTTCATCAAATATTAAACAAGACTAGTGGATATTTGCCAGTTGGCGGTATACTGAAAATAGCAGCTCCTCCTCTTCATTAGAAATGATTAGGGCTGGGTGGCAGAGTGCTTGTCTAGCATGCACAAGGGCCTGGGTTAGACCCTTAGCACTGAAAAAAAAAGTTTAATACATGTAACTGATTATTTTTATGACCTAAGTTTGAGCATGTATCCCATAGGTACTGTTTAACCCCCAGTGTTTGGCAATCAACTCAAATGCCCTTAACCCAGGCCATCCACAGTGAAGGTCCCCTGGCAAAAGACAGACTTGCATCTAAATTAGTGCCCTTTCATAATAAAAGTTCAAAATTGAGGGAAAAAGCAAAATTGGGTTAAGGTAACACCTTGAACCTTTTATCAGAATGCTTCTCTCCCTAGCTGGGTGTGGTGGAGCACTTCTGTAATCCCAGCACTCGGGAGGCAGAGGCAGGAGGATCGCTGTGAGTTCGAGACCAGCCTGGGCTACATAGTGAGTTCCAGGTCAGTCTCAACTACATAGTGAGACCCTGTCTCAAAAAAACCAATCAAACAAAGAATGCTTTTGTCCCTGCTTTTACAGAGAATATAATTTCTCAGTGTTTTATTTTCATAATTCATTTACCTCAGATAAAACATTCTTGTTTTTCATCAGCAAACCAGCAAAGCCAGGATGGTCAGCTGCCTTTGTACAATTCATGATTGGGTTCCTAGTGGTAACTACTTCAAGAAGTGGATCAAAAGAAGCCTACAAAGAAAAATTGCAAATTAATTAACAAAGCATGCACCCTGTGGATCAAAACCCACAGTGTTCCAGCCCACACAAACTCTTATCAATGGCTTTAAATAGGACACAGCTTTAAAACAGAACCCTAACAAATACAACAGGTCCTAGGAAAATAGCAAGTAACATGCTTACCTAAAAAGCTACTTGATATTTTTAAAAAAGATATTACTTACCTGACTAATACTAGCCTTAAGTAAATGCAGCACATCTAATCTGTGCAGACACAATTTTTGAGAATACAGAAATCAAGAAAATGTATAAAATTTCTGGGAAAACTTTAATGTGTATCTAACAAAAACTTTATGGAAACTAGAATTATTAGAAAGTCATTGATCAAAGACATAGCAGTTCTTTTTTATTGTTTTATTTTTAGACAAGATCTCACTAAGATGCTAAGTTGTCCAGGCTGGGCTTGAGCTTGAGGCCTCTGTCACGGTCTCCCAGAGCTGAAACAGCAAGTGTGCACCACCACGACCAGCTTAGCATGGTGCTATGTTTCATTTTTCATTGCAGATAAATTTTTTAAAAATCTGATTTCAGTAGTCAACATGAATTTTGTGTTTTTGCCACACCTACAGTAAGGATGTAAGTTAGAGTCTGTTTACCTGTATTTTAGTCTCTCTCCCCAATGTTAAAAAGGTTTCCAGTGTTCTAAATTGTAATTAGTGGAAATTTCAGTAAGAATAGCATTTATATGACTCAAATGAAAACTGTATCTAGAATAACTAGAATAACTAAAGATGTATTTAAAAACATATCACATGGTCCTTACACTAAAGAAATAAAATACATTTTTCTTGGGCTGGGGATTTAGCTCAGTGGTTCCACCACCTGCCTCGCAAGCACAAGGACCTGAGTTCAATCCCTGGTACCAAAAAAAAAAAAAAAGAAAGAAAATACATTTTTCTAAAATTATCTGAGTTAATTTTGTGCCTACTGAGATGCTAGGAACAAAGGCTGGGGATTTAGCTCAGTGGTTCCAGCGCCTGCCTCACAAGTGCAAGAACCCAAGTTCAATACCCGGTACCAAAAAAGAGATGCTAGGAACAAAGATTAGCAAGAGAATACCAAATACCTATGTTCAAGGGCTGGGGATTTAGCACAGTGGCGCCATGCCTGCCTCACAAGGGCAAGGTCCTAAATTGGATCCCTGGTGCTGCAAAAAAAAAAAAAAGTTTAAAAGAAAAAAATACATTGAAAATATGAATAAGTCTCATGAGATCATGAGAAATAAATAGAAGGTTGTAGTTCAGAGGTATAGCACTTGCCTAGCATAAGAGGCCCTGGGTTCAAATTCCAGCACCACACAAGAAATACATACGTACATACATAAATACAAGCCCATACTTAGCTAGAAAAATAAACAACATAAAACTTCTAGAAATAAAAGGTGCAATTTTAATTTGAAAATTATATAGACATATTAACAAACAAATTAGATCCATTTTAAGAAAAGTGGATGTGAAGATAAATCTGCAGACAAGTATCAAGACAGCATGTAGGGAGCCATGCCTGAATCCTAGCTCTAAGGAGGCTGAGGCAGGAGACTTCCCATGAGATCAAGGCCAGCCTGAATGACATAGTGAGTCAGGATCAGCCTAAATTGGAAAAGGGGAATAACAATGATGTTAGCTTTAAAATATCACACAGTTTAAGTATCAACACAGGCAAGTTTGTGTGCATTATTCTAACTGACAGCCACTGAGTTGAATGGCTCAAGTGGAAAGCTATAATTAGCATGTTAATTATCTCAGTCTATAGAAAAATAAAAAACACCTAGGTCACCTTTAAAATGGGATCTACCTTGACTTTATGTTCCCTAGAAGAGAGCATAAGATATAGCTGGTTTAACAAGTCAAGACAGTCACTACATAGGGAGACCTGTCCCAGAACAAACAGCTGAGCATGTTGGCACATGCAGGAAGATCCCATAGTTATAGAGACCTTATCTCAAAAAACTCTCTGAGATACAAAAAAGAATTGGAATAAAAAATAGCAAAATGGGCTGCAGATTTAGCTCAGTGGTGCCAAGCCTGCCTGGCAAGCACAAGGTGCTGAGCTTGATCCTTTACCAAAAAAAAAGAAAGAAAAAAATAGCAAAATGTGTGAGTACATCTAAATAAGAATTAATAGGTTTAAATAATCTAATTTATGTGGTGGAAAATGAAGGATATAAGAGGCAGGATATATCATGTACAGGTGCAAGTTCCCTATAATGAGTGTTATCATTATGTATATCTAAAATGTACCAATAAATGGTTTGCTAAAAAAAAAAAAGAAAATGGAGGATATAACTAATATAAGAACAAAAAAGGTATATATATTGAAAAGAAAAAAAGTAAGTTAAAGCAGTAAAAAAAAAAAAAACTTCAGATCTCTCATGAGTAATAAAGATTTCAGTTAACTTTTTTTTTTGGTACCAGGGATTGAACTCCGGTCCTTGCGCTTGCAAGGCAGGCCACTGAACCTCTGAGCTAAATCCCTGGCCCTCAAATAACTTTTTAAAGTACAGTATATGTGTTAAAGTAGTAAAATGTGTTATAATCATGAAAAATAGCTTATAGCCTAAAACAATTTGTTTTTGGCACAATAGAGGGGGGAATGGAAGAAATACAATGCACATGTTGAGATGATAGAAATATTCTTAATATTAATAAATCCAAATGGACTAAACTTTCTTTCTTTCTTTGGTACCTGGGATCAAACTTAGGACACCTTGCACTTGCAAGGCAGATGGTATGGCACCACTGAGCTAAATCCCCAGACCTAAACTTTCTGATTAAAAGAAAAAAACTTATCAACCTTATTCAAAAGTGCAAACCCATATATAGAATAAATAAGAAACCAACCCATATGTAGAATAAATAAGAGTGTAATGTATAAATAACTTCTGATATAGTCATACAATGGAATACTACAAAGGAATGGAAATGATCTAAAATTGTACATACATCAAAACAATTTTCACTAAACAAAATAATTTTCAAAACAACAAAACACTGTAATTCCATTCACATAAATTTTTAAAAAGGATAAAAATAAGCAATATTTCTTAGGGATACATAAATGGGTGGTAAAACTAGAAGAAAGTGAGAGAATAACTAATACAAAAATTGAAAATATTTAGGGTTGAATTTTAGGTCAAAGAAAGGGACTCAGGAAAGGGCACATTGGGAGTTTCTATGGTACTGGTAATATTCTATGAAGATAGGTGGTACATATATATATAATAATCCCTTTATATATATGACATTTTAATTTTATTTATTTACTTATTCTTTGGTGCTGAGAACTGAACCCAAGCCCTCATGCACACTAAGTTCAAATTTTACCACCAAGGTAATGTCAAGTCCCCATTATGACATGTTTTTAAAAATAATCCCATATACAAACCAAAATTAGATACTTTCAAAGTGGCATGTATATTCAAAGACATATATTGCATATATTAAGAGAGACAGAAATGGAGGTAATGGAGGAAAACAAGATGAGACAGGCCTTGCACAGAATGGTGATGATATCACACAAAGTATGTTTAATTTGATGGCATACCTGAGATCTAGAATAGAAAGATAAATTGATCAAAATGTGCTAAGTATCTTATTTAGTACATCACAATGTCATTGATTTTAAATACCAAACATAAAATAATAACTAATATCCAGTTGGGTTTTTAATTTATAAAAATAAATATTCAGGTGGGTGTGGTGGTGCATACACATAATCCCAGCACTCCTGGAGGCTAAAACATAAGGATCAAAAGTGTGAACCCAAACTAAGTGGGCAATTTAGTAATTTAGTGAGACTTACAAAATAAAAAAATTTTAAAGAGCTGAATATATAGCTCAGTGTGAAGGCCCTGAGTTTAATCCTCAGTACCATCAAAAGGAAAATAATCAACTGCAATTTATTTTGGTAGACAAGTACTTTCAAATATGGCTTGAAAAGTTTCCATATTTCATATTTGTTTCAAATATATGAACAAGACAGGGATTTAGTTCAATTGTGCCACTGCGTGTCTAGTAAGTGCAAGGTCCCCAATTCAATTCCTGGTACCAAAAAACAAAACAAAATAAAACAAAACAACTCACTACAATAAAATACATGAACAAGGAGGCATGTGGTAAAGGATACTCACTGCAGGTTTCTATAAGAAAATAAGTAAATGCTCCAAAATTGCTATATAATTTGAATATATAATATGAATAAAAAAGAATAAGTCTCAAAATATAAGAGTGAGTGCAAATAGTAAGAAAGTTACATTTAATAGAACTCCCTTTATAATTTTTTTTTTTTTTTGGTACCGGGGATCGAACTTGGGTCCTTGAGCTTGCAAGGTAGGCTGCAGAACCACTGAGCTAAATCCCCAGCCTCCCCCTTATAGTTTTTATAAATGCCTAAAATATCATTAGAGACCTTGACATTTGTATTAAAAATATGAACACTGCTGGGCCTGGTGACTCACACCTGTAATCCCAGCACTCAGGAGCCTGACACAGCAGAACTGCAGAGTTTAAGGCCAGCCTGGGCTACATAGTGAGTTCAAGGCCAGTGTGAACTACATAGTGAGACCCTGTCTAAATAAATAGATAGATAAATAAACAAACAAAGAATATGAACATAAAGATTATATTCCTACTTCAGAATAATTGTTATCCCTGAAAAGAAAGAAAAAACAATGCAGGAAAGCCAAATAATTCTTCTACTTTGGTCTGTAATAGCAGCTGCCCTCACATCCCCACCTCTCACCACCATGGCCTGTGGGTCCCTTCACTTCTCACAGGTGGCCAATGCTTCACAGCAGGGTATCAGGGATATCTTTGCTAGGAGAAGCAAAGTTTCTTACCTGAGGCCGTCTCCCCCTTCCTGTTTTGTTGTTTACATTATCCATCTCAACAACACAGGACAGAAAAAGGATGGGTGATAGTAGTTGCTGCACTTTTCAGTGCGTTTGAAATTAAATATAAAAGTTAAAATATGGGGTTGGGGATGTAGCTCAGTGTGGTACGTGCTTGCCTACCATGCACAAGGCCCTAGGTGCAATCTGCAGCACTGGGACCAAAAAAAGTACAAATATAATTCAACTGACTTTTTAAAAAATCACAAAATACAAGGATGCTATCCGATAGCAAAAAATGTTATTGTGCTATATTACAGTTGAAATTCAATCTATATTTTAATATATATTTGGTCAGTCCAGAAGAAAACACAACATGTTACTCTTATTTTTTTGTTTTTATTCTTTTTGAGACAGGATCTCACTTTATAGTGCAAGCTGGCCTTGAACTCACTATGTAGCTGAGGCTAGCCTCAAACTTGCAGCAATCCTCCTGCCTCAATCTCCCAAGTGCCGGGATTGTGGGTGTGTGCCACCGTGCCTGGCTATTTTAATTTTTTGAGACAATATTTCACTATGTTGCTCAGGATGGCCTCAAACTCATGGGCTTAAGTGAGCCTCCTGTCTCAGCCTCCCAAGTAGCTGGGATAATAGGTGCATACCACAAGGCTTGGCAACATGTTACTTTTAAATTTGTACTGCAAATTCAAGCTTTTTGTTTTACCACTCATTTAAAATAAAGTTCATTAAGGCCAGGGATTTAGCTCAGTGGTTCTGCCGCCTGCCTTGCAAGCACAAGGACCTGAGTTTGATCCTCGGTACCAAAAAAAAAGTTCAGAGTTAAATGAGGAATAGTCAAAAAAAGATCACAATTACTTTACTAATATAAAATTTATATATATACATATATATGAGTTTTATTGCTCTTATCATAGTCCATGAGAGACCAAAAAAATATTTTTGAAATTCCTAGAGGGAGTCATGACTTTTTATGTACTTGAAAAGGGTTCAATCACTAAAGATCAAAGAATACTATCCTTTCACATTATCACACACAGAGATATTTTCCCCCCAGCAAAGAAGCTAGGCTTCTCCTCATTTAAAGTTACCAGGAGAAAGAAATAAAACATTTCCCCTAGGTCACCATCCCTCTTTCCAATCCTCAGCTCAGACTCCATTTCCTAGCAAGTATAAAGTCTGGATGGATCTTTCCAAAGGGCTTATAAATATTAAGGGAAGGGACACCATTTGACCTACAAAGATATTTAATTTTCAAAAGATTGTCTTTAAAGTCTAGCTCATAAAACAAGTCTATAAACCAAGAGGTAAACATGGTATATTTGAAAGATACTGAGGGTCACACTACTCAGTTCTGTCACTAAATCACTGTGACCTCTCTCTAATGTTCACTTTTCTAATCTGCAAAATAACAGGATTAGATAAAATTAACTCAGAGACCCTTATTTTTATATGTTTTAGGGTAATGGACATTAGTGAAATGTCAAAACTACCAACAGGAGCAAAAACAAATAAAATCTATTGGAGGTTTCATTGGATTCAGATGTTTCATTGGTCCCTGTTCTAGAGTCAAGCTAGGAATAAAAGAAGTGGGAGTGGGAGATGATAACAAGGATTAAGATGTGTTATGTACATGCACCATGAGGAATGTACTCATTATGTATTGCAAACATGCACTAATAAAAAAAAGAAAAGAAAGAAGAGGAAGATCTTTTGACCTCATCTTTTGCATCATTCATGAGCAAAGACATAAGGGGGTGAGCATATGCAAACGGGCAAGTAGAGCTGGACTTGGCCTTTCTTCTAGCTGTCAAATATATGGGAGGTTATTTACTTCTGAGCATAGGAAAAAATAAATACCAGAATACAACTCACCACTGGGCTGTTCTTCTGAGCTGACTGATGCCTGACTTCTGAAGACATAGCCCCCTGAGGCCCTTTGGTTTGGCCAGTAGCAAGCCTTCCTAGATCTGCCTGGTTTAAAGACTGGACCAGGTTTGACATGCCGGTGATACAGGAAGCAGGAACACAGCTAATGGTGATCTAAGGTGCTTCCAAGAGGAGCTGCCAAAGAGCACGCAGGAAGAGATGCTGAGGTCTGCTCAACGCCAACAGTCTTCCAGAAGGTTCCACTCAAGATCTGCAGTGTTTAGCCACACCTCAGAAGGAGCTGCTCGCTGAGCCTATTGCTTGGAGATAGGTGGACCTGGTTTCTAACAATAGCATCAAACACTTTAGATTGTAACAGGTTCAAGTATAAACATGCTATTATTATGCATAAATAAACTCATTTAAATCCTAACAGTGAATCATATCTTTAGGTTCTTGACTTACAAATTTTCTCATCTTCAATTTCTCAATCCATCAGAAATGCTGAACTATACCCCTCAAGATATATCCAAAAGATAGTCCACCAGAAGCTAATAATGTAGCATGTGATAGTTTATAGTGCTTTTTT